CCCCCGCCCCCACCCCGAAACCCCATTTGCTCCCTCCTCTAGGTTCCTGACTCTTTCAACAGCCTTTGTACTGCTGCTCCTTGGCTACTTCCTACTGCTGTCTTTCAGCCACACCCCTGATCTTAGGGTAGTTAAGATCTAACACCTAGCCTTCACGGATAATTCACCATACCATACAACAGTACCTTTAAAAAACACGTTGAGCTCCGACAAAAAGAAAATCTCTCTAAATATCCATCATATCAATTTAAAAACAGATATTACTTCAGCTGACATTTGAATGAATCAAAGGATTTGATCTCTCTTAAAGTACATGGCAAAGCATTTCAGGTCTTGGGGTCTTGATATTTAAAGCCCTTTCACCCACTGTTTTAAGTTTTAATAGGTGGCAAAACTGCCAGTCGGAATATTCAGTCTCTATAGATTTGATGAGTATGATGGGGCATTTGTCACACAGGGTGGCCATCTTGTAGATGATTCTTTTCTCGACAGGAAGCCAGCGCAGTATAAGTAAGAGGTTCAGCAGAGTCTCGCTTTCTTTTCTGTAAAGCTAAAAGTGCAGCATTGTTTTGGGCAGTTTGAAGTCGTTTCACTTTCTTCATTGTGATATTCCCGATAAAACGGATTTACAATGATCAAGTCTTAATAAAACTAAGCTAGTTATTAGTAAAACAGTATACTTTGTAATGATTACATTACGTATTTTACGATTTTTCTCATTTAATTTCTCAACACATGCAGCGGATTAGATGGTTTCCATCAGCCGACATTGACTAACTGGAATCAAAATACAGATGTAGATGCCAATATTCTTAACTTTAAATAAAAATGCAATTTCCGCATCATCAATTGTCTTGTAAACGTGGTCAATGGGTCAACCTCATTAACAGACCTTGTACTGCCTACCAGATTGACTTATGTTTTATCATCATTCAACATTCAACATCATTTTGTTTTTGTCCATCTACCACCCAGAGATCTCTTACAAAAATTGCTTATGGTAAACAAAGTACACTCACTTTCTCTCTCTCTCTCTCTCTCTCTCTCT